TCATAGTCTTTAGAGCTTCCCGTGTCTCCCTTCCTTCCTGGCACCTTCCCGGATTCTGCAGGCCCTCCGCCCTGGTCTCATTCCTCACACTGGAAATACAAGGAAAACCTGGCATATTTCATGTGTGCTTGCTTGTCCATCGCTCCCACTAGATAGAGGTTCCTGGGAGTGGGGACCACACAGGCCTAGCTCGTCTGTGGCTACCTCCCCAGGACAGAGAACAGCACCTGGCACATTTTTTGAATGAAAAGCCTTGAAATGCCATCACTGCTGCTTGTGGAACATAAGCTGAACACACGTGGCTGGGATGCAGGGCCCCGAGTGGCCTCCAGGAGAGGGGCCAGCAACCTCAGGACCCTGAGGATGGGGCGGCTCCCTCTGTAAGCAACTTCCTGTTCTCACTGAGACTCTCCTCCCCACAACGAAACGCAGCCCCCTGAAAGCTGCTTGCAAAATGGAATGAGAGAATGGCTGCAAAAAACCCAGTGCTCTCTGTAGAGAGAAAACCAATGTGGCTATTACTTTATTCTTGTTACGATGTTTAGGTTAAAAACAGCTAGGGAAGAGGTCAAAACATCCTGGTCCTGGCGGGCCTTCTTCCCTTCCATCCCAGAGACCGGATGGAGAGCTGGCGTGTGTTTGTGTCCCGGGGTGGAAAGCGGGGAGCCACAGCCATCACAGGCCGCAGAGGGACCTTCCTCCTGGCTCTTTGTTTGTGAGCCGGCAGAGTGAAGCCTGGCGAGGAGACGTGGGCCCGAGGCACTAGTCTAACTGAGTTGTAACTTCACAAATCTGAGAGGCACTGAGGAAGATGCATCCCTATTTTAAGCACACGGAGAAAGAACAAAAAGACGCCTCTAATTAAACCAGGATACACCACAGACTGCAGGGTGCATATGATTTCCAAGATACAGGGGTGGGGGTGAAAGTCGGTTTACAGTTGTTCATATGGAAAATAATACAATAACAAATAATAATATGAGAATAAATTCTGTGTTTCAGGTGCTCACAACTATAAACCTACTTCAGCCCACCCCTGCATTCAAAGGTGGGGTGAAAAAACGAAAGGTGGGTCTCAGAGCCACAGAGCGGCGTTCTGCATGTTCTGTGCTGCTCCTCGTTTCCACGGGCCATGGTCTGTCGCCCAGTGACCCTTGAGCGGTGCCAACCTGGTGTCCCGAGTCACCCTAAACCTGGCTTCTCCGCCCTGGCTCTTCAGACACTGGTGCTGGATAATGGCTGGCGGAGGGCGCAGGGTCTGCGCCGCCCTCGGCGCTGCGGGACATTAGTGGCATCCCTGGCCTGGACCCGCCGGACACTGGCAGCACTTCCCCTGAATGTTGGCTACCAGAGATGGACATTGTCAAATGTCCCCTGATAGGCCAACACCCCCAGGGTTGAGACCCACTGCACTAGAGAAGCTTAACAAGCATGCACGGGGGTCCTTCTCACCGCGGTTTTATTTCCATGGTTTCAGTTACCCGTGGTCAACCAAAATCCAAAAACATTAAATGGAAAATTCCAGAGATAAACAACTTGTCGTTTTAAATTGCTTGACTGTCTGGGTATCACGATGAGCTCTTGCCTGCCCTGCCCCGCGGACCCTCCCTCTGCCCAGCGTCTCCCTGTGTGCGCTCTCTCCCCACCCTTCCGTCACTCAGCAGCCCTCTAGGTGCTCAGGAGGTCACAGCGGAGGCAACGCAGTGCTCATGTTCAAGGGGCCGTATTTTTCTTAATGATGCCACATTCATGTAACTTTTAATAACAATATGTTATCGTTGTTCTATGTTATTTTTAGGTTTTGTCGTTAATCTCTGACTGTGCCTAATTTACAAATTAAACTATCATAGTACTTACAGGGTGTGGTACTATATCCGAGTTTGGGCATTCACTAGGGGTCTTGGAACATGTATCTTTCACGGGTATGGTGGGGGGAACTCCTGTATGTACACTGCAAACTAACAAAGGGACAGAGGCACCAAGTTAGACAGGCGTCTCAAGCCTTCTCTGAGCCTTCAGAACGCTGATGTGCACGGTGGACCTCCAAAGGCAAATAGAGCAGGTTTCTGGCTGCATTCGACTGCAAAGCCCTTTTTGGCAGAGAACCTGATAGACCGAACCACGCCTCACCCCCGACTTACCCCCTGAAGGTGGGAGCAGAGGAGGGCAAGTCGGTGTCCACGCACTCCAACACCGTGGCCACTGGGCCAGTTCCCGTTGCTGACCCTGACCCTCTGTACCTACCTCCCCACCTTTATTGGCCACACTTGAAGCCCCGGCACCCACTTCAGTGCTGGGCTGACGGGGTCCCAGGTGCTTGCTGGTGAAAGCAGGCATGTGTCACGCCCAAGCCTTGGGCCAAGGGGCAGAGCCAGTGCCTCCCAGCCCTCCTTCTGGGGAACAAAAGCCACAGACAGTGGGAAAGGGACAGGACGCTGCCTGGGGAGGCTGGGCTTTTGAGAGGTGGTCGCGGCCACGCAGAGGACGAGCCCCCTGACCAGCCCCGCCAGCACGGCAGGCTGTGGCAGTTCGTACCTGTCATGGCTCCACGCCCAAGCCTCCTCTGCCCATGTCCCCATCCTGTCCTGCTTCAGGGACCACTTGGCTAGAAGAGACAGCTGGGTTTCTCTCTCGTGTCTGGCTGGCCTGGAGCCAGCTAGGACAGAGGGCCACACCTCACATTACTCACACTGGCATTCTCTTATTAAAACACACACACACACACACACACACACACACACACACACACACACACACCCCAAAACAGAGGGTGGTGTGCCCAGGACTGCATGTTGTCAAACGAGAGGCAGAAGGACAGGATGGGCCTGTCTCCGGGACTCGATCTGATCACTGTTGACGCAGCGCCCACCTGGTGCCGGGGAATTTGGAGTAAATGCCCTGTTTCCCTTCCCCGCTCGACAATTTCTTTTTTTTTAATCTGTTTTTAAGTTCACACACACACACACACACACACACACACACACACACACACACACATTTTAAAGTGAAAAGCCTGGCTGAACTTGCCATGGAAACCTCCACCCATCCCCTCTCCTGTGCCTCAGCTGATCCTCCAGAGGTTGGTCTGGCCCTCAGTTCAGTTTTGAGTTCTGCTCTGGTGACCTTCACGCCCCTAAATACGTCCTTTGATCACACTTTGATTTCTTCATGCATCAGTGGCAGAGAGTGTCTAAAACAGTGGCACCCAGCCTTTTTGGCTCTAGGGGCTGGTTTTGTGGAAGACACTTTTTCCATAGACCAGGGGTGGGGGTGGGTTTATAGCCTGCCACCAGATTGAACTTAATTGTCACTGGCCACTCACTGATAGGCTTTTGATATGAGTCTACAAGCAATTGATTTATTGCTGTCTCCATGTGGTCAAACCTCTCTGCCAGTGATGATCTGTATTTGCAGCCGCTCCCCCAATACCAGCATCACCGCCTCAGCTCCACCTCAGATCTCAGGCATTAGATCCTCATAAGGAGAGGCAACCTACATCCCTTGTATATGCAGATCACTGTAGGGTTTGTGCTCCAATGAGAATCTAATGCCTCCCTGATATGACAGGAGGCGGAGCTCAGATGGTAATGTGAGTGATGGGGAGTGGCTGTAAATACAGATGAAGCTTGTCTTGCTCACTTGCCCACTGCTCACCTCTTGCTGTGTGGCTCAGTACCTAACAGACCATGGACCAGAACCGGTCCATGGCTCAGGGGTTGGGGACCCCTGGTCTAAAAGAATCCCGCTCTGTAGGTGGGGGTCTGGCCCACTCTCGCTGCATCCGCCCTCCCTTCCTTTGATCCAGAATTCTGCATTCTAGTTAGTTTTTATTTTTGATTTATTTTTATTATTTTAGCTCTTCCCTTGATGACCCAAGATGTTTCAGGTACACTATTAACTCTCTGATGACTCTGCATTCCATGAAGATTAAGGAGGCTCTGAGCTCTACTCCTTCCATCACCCCTGCTGCAGTGAGCCCAGGATGTCGCTGCTGCTTCTGCCCCTCCCCCCTGCATGGCTCCCCCCACCATTCAGCTACAACCATCTGTACATGTTCAAAGTTACCAAAAGTTGAATTCTGAGGTACACCCACAATCATCCTAGTTGACACCTAAAGTGGAAAACCAACAAATGGGGTTAAAAACTATGTGCCATGTGCCTTTCTATGAGTTTACTCACCACTGAGGCCAGGCTCTGTCTGGGAACTGAGGGTTCCATAAAGAATTCCCCAGAAGAAAAGTAGAGGCCAAATCCCCACCCTCAGGAAGTGTGTAGTCTACCGCAGAGAATGATTCTCTAAGGGCAATGAAATAGCATGCTGCTGGGATCCAGTCATTAGGTGAGGGAACTGAATTGAGTGGTTGGGGAAGGCTTCTTGGAGGAGGTGACATTTAAAACAAGGCATAAACCACAAGAAGTCAGAAGCTGTTTTCCCCACTGGTATGACTTACAACTGATCTCCTGGGATCTCAGAACCCAATGTCTCCTAAGAGTAACAAACATCTCACCTATTACAGGAATATCTGTCTTGACCCCCTCCCCATGATACCTCTTCTGATGGACTCATACCCTCACAAGGAATCCCATTTCCTTTCCAGAATGTTCTGCCTGAAGGTTGCCCTAGAAAAATTTGCCTCCCTTTACTTTCTACTCCTTGAAGCCTTTGGGGACCATGTGGAGCAGTTTTGTCCCTGCTTCAGGCCCCCACATGGGCAGACAGGTAAGAGTTCTGATGGCTCACCTCACCCAGCAGATTCTCCTCCTTAAGCACCTGAGGAGGAGTGAGGGTGAGCTGCCAGTTTGCTGCTGGCACTATCAGGGCAATACTACTGGAGGGGCAATGAGCTTGTGGGGCCTCCTACCCCTGCAGGCCCCTCCTTGGTTGGGTTCATAAGAGCATCAGCCAGGTTTCAGACCCCAGGATCCACAGTCCTGACCTTTCCAATGAAGGTGGGTGTGCAGCCCCTCCCAGCTGCCCCAAACGGGGAGGCGAATAGTACCTGTTGGAGGCAGAGAGCTCCTATGAGGGCCAGGGCTGGCTGGAATCCCAGGAGAACTGCTGGGGCGTTCCCAGGTGGTCTCTGGTCAAAGAAAAAAACAAGATTGCATTTAGAATTTCGTAAGGTAGAAGCTCTGAGAGTCACAGAGCACAACTAGACGATCAGAGCTAGAAAAAACAGTCTTGGCTGGTCTCCATCCTCCCTACCCAGGAACTAGGAGCTCTTTCTGCTCCCACACCCTTCCCACCTCTTATGACGACAGAACTTCTCTCTGCTGGGGACCCTTCTGCATGCAGCGGGGACCAGAAGGAGGTGGCCTTCCATCTGGACCCCCCAAACCCTTCTTCCCCAGTGCCCCTTCCTCCCTCATCCCCAGAGGCTGTCAACTCATGGATGTCCTGGAGCCCTTCTGTCCTGGCCCTGGAACTCTTGCTGCCAACTGGGCATTTCTCCCTGGATGCCACTGTCACTGCAAACCCCGAAGCACAGAGGAAAGAGCCCCTGCCTGGGGGGTCTGTACACAGACAGGGTCCTCTGCCACAGGGGGTGATTTCCAAAGCCTGTTCCATGTCTTGTTTGAATCACAACTGCTGCATCTGGCTGGCCCCCTCTTCCAGTGCCCAGCTACCTGATCCAGCCCAAAGGAAAGCTCATACTGCAGTTATAGTGCCATCCCCTGAATATTGTTTTACCCATTTCACCACTATGAACAAGCTTTCTCATAAAATTATCTAGTGATGAAAATAATGCTTTCTTATCATGTAACACTGGGTGCTATAGAAAGCACAAGAAGAAAAGTAGTCTCATCCACAATCCTGCAACTTGGAAGTCATCACTACCAACACTTCGGTATCTATATGTCGACTCGTTTTATATATACACACACATACACATTTATATGAGAACAAGATCATACTGTATGTTCTTTTCACAGATAGACTTTTGTGAGTATCTTTCCAGAATCATTAAAGGTGTCGGATAGTAGAGGGAAGAATCCATGAACAGCGGAAGGTCTCGAGCTGGACTGCCTGGGTTTGAATCCCAGCTCTGCCTCTCACCACCAGTGTACCCCTGTCCAAGTGCCCTCAGTGCCTCAGTTTCCTCCTCTGTAAATGAGATCGATACTGCTGTCTACCCCAGGCAGTCATTGTCTTCAAGCCAAATGCCCATATACAAGTAGTTAGCATAAAGTTATTTGTCAAGTTAGCCCAATGTATGAATATAACATTAATCAAATAATTCTATTTGTCTCAAATATTTAAAATAACTTGCAAAACTTTTTCAATGACTTCACTCAGGATCAAAACAACGGGAGTTTTGTCTCAGCTCTGCCTCTAATCTGCTGTGCAGGCTGGGGCTAGACATTTTCTCTCTCTGGCCCTCCAATTCTTAATAGAAAATGAAGGGGTTGGGATAACTGGTCTTTTAGGCCTCAATACTCCTGCTCTGCAGCTTTGATGGATGATCTCAAAATCTTCCAAACCACTGCTTGGGTTTAAGGATCTTAGGGCTCTAGGAGTTGGGTGGTAATGTGGACCCTTTCCCATTCCCTTTCTCAAAGGAAAGAAAACAGAATGGAGGGCAAGTGAGGGAAGCAGCAGGGACAGTGTGACCGGGAACAAGGGAGCGATGGGATCTTCTATGAGGAGTGACAGAAAAGCAGGCTCAGCGACTTTCCCAAGAGGGAAGGCTATGCTGACTGGCACTCAGACACCAAGAATTGGAGAACCCTCCAGGGCTCCTGCACAGACAATGCAGCTGCCCGAAGGGTTCGTCCCTGTCCATCTCCCAGTCTGGGCATTCTAGCCACTCTAAAACACAAAGCTGCCCTGGCCGGTGGAGCTCAGTGGATGAAGTACAGGCCTGCGAACCAAAGGGTCGCCAGTTTGATACCCAGTCAGGACACATGCCTGTGCTGTGGGCCAAGTCTCCGGGGTGGGGGTGGGGGGTGGTGTGAGAGGCAACCACACAGTGATGTTTCTCTTCTTCTCTTTCTCCTTCCCTTCCTCTCTCTTTAAAAATAAATAAATAAAAATCATTTAAAAATTTAAATAAATAAAATAAAACAAAAAGCCACCTCGAGCCTCGGGCAGAGTGAGGCCTGACCAGGCAGACAGCTGGAGAGGGCCACTGGGGCTCTGGCTGAGTGACCTCGCCAGTGGCAGGAACCCTCAACCGAGACGACTATACTGCCTACAGGAAGGAAGCCACGTCCAGGTTTTTTCCCAGTAAAAGATGTGTTCATCTGTTTACAGCACACCAGGCCCCCAACCCCCAAGCAAAACTGCAGAGGCAGCTTGGGGCCCATGTTCTTCTGGATTGAGGCCCTTTTGCCTTCCCTGGGGTTCTAGGTCATCCCAGGTGATGATCCAGACTCCTAACAGAGTCACTGCCATGCAGGTCCCAGAGGCTCTAGGGACAAGGTAAGGTGAGTGGAAGAAGTGAGATGTTGAAGCTCCATCCAACCCAAGTCAGGAGAAACACGCTTTTTTCTAGAGGCAACTCCAACTCAGTTTAGACCTCTTCCACTGAAACCAGGGGAGCCCAGCACACACAAATGAACTGCCTGTGGGCCAAGCCAGCCTGAGGGAAGCTGCTATTCTAGCCACTGAGGTACAGGCCGGAAATTGTAATTTCCGCATCGGTGGATTACAGTGGCTACCCCAGGTAAAACAAAACTCATGAAAAGAGGGTACTCTTGAAAGGTAGGAAGCCATGTACACCTAGCTTTCAGACCACAGAGCGCCCTCCCTCCTTACGATAACAACAATAGTAATACTAATAATAAAACAGTACATGAAGTGGGAGTTTTAATTTTCAACAGTCACTTTTGGACTTCATTTCTCCTTGTTAAGACTGTATCCTGCTTGGACTAAGAGGTATTGGCTTCTAGCAGGAAAACCATAAGCTGCTGGACCTAAGCCACTTGTCATACAGATTTGCCTTCAGCTCACCTGTAAGTCTTGGCTTCACCCCATACCCCTGCAACAGCCCCTAGCCCACCCACCAGTAGACTCCCCCTCCTGATTGGTCCATTCCTTGGCTGTAATGTGGCTATCTGCTGCCCCTAGTGGTTACCAGGTGAAATAACCACAGGTACCAGCTTGGGCTGGAATCTGAGATTCCTGTAGTAGTTTCCTCTTTGCCTTTTTTTTTTTTAAGCTCCTCTTTCTGGGTTTCCCATTCTCTCTGCTCCCCCACCTCTTGTTTCTTCCTTCCCCTTGTTTGTTGGTGGTCCCAGCTGTGGCTTCTCTCCTGACCCCTGTTTTCCTCACCACAAGGATCTGCTGGACTCAGGTTTTGCTAGACAGACAGCAGACCTGCTATCCCCATCTCTGACCTTTGTCCCTGTTCATCTGGAAGCTGCCTTACTACCTGGGGCTCTGCCATGTTCTCTACCCTAACAAGGAAGGCAAGTCCCAGGAGAATCACAGGAGCCCCAGTGTCCCAGTCCGGGGGCCAGGCCAGCCCCCAGGAGAATGCAAGCTGCAGCGAGCCGTAGGAGCTGCTGCAGTGAGCCGTAGGAACCGTTAGCACCTGGAGGTCTTGCTTTGCCCTCCCTTGGGACACTTAGCAGCAAAGCTTCTGATCCACTCCACGCATCAGCACTTCCTTAGTGGGCCCCTTAGCTTTGCAATCAATGCCCACTTAGGGGTCTCAGGCTACAGGATAATGCTAACCCCTTCCTAAAGTTAAATGAGAAACTACTATTCTCTGAACAGCCATTTGTGCCTGGCCAACTTCAAGTCCCCCTACCTTGGGTGTCCCCTTCAGGGGTCACAAAACACTTGAAATGGGCGCTATCATTTCTATTTTTAGTGGAAGACATTGAGGCCTCAGTGAGAACCGGCAGAGCTGGGACTCAGTTCAACGGCAAAGACCACCATACGCCGGCCACACCCACACCTCCGAGCCCTGTGCAGGCATTCGGGGAGCTGCCAGTAGTCGGTGCTGCTTTAATCTGTGCGCCACTCAAAATCAGCATTATTAATTTCCATGATACAGTGAATGTTTATAACCTAAACATGTGATATTTAATGTAATAAATTATATTATTATAGTATTAATATTTGATTTTATATACTGATATATTATTATCATTCTATCTGAGTGCCTACTCGGTATCTGGCACTGTTCTCAGCACTGGAGACCCTGCAGGGAGTTTGACGGATCGAACTCCTCCCTCTTCCTTCAGCTCACGTTCTCAGTCATGATGCTATCTTAGTTTTTAACTATCAATATACAAAAATTTTGATGAACGAAAATTTAAAATATTTCTGATGGGAGTGGAGGGACAAAGTCATGCTAGGAGACAGGTAATCAGTAAGTAAAACATATCAGGTTAGACGGTGGTACGTACTGAAGAGAATAAGGCAGGGAAGGAGGATAAGAAGGGTTATTAGAAAGGTGTGATTCTGGTCAGGCCGCCAGGGGAGGCCCCAATGAGGAAGGCACATTTATTATCTACTGCTGCATCACAAATCACTCCAAACTTGTCGGCTTAAGTCAACAAGCATTTCTTGCCCCCCAGACTGGGTGAGTCAGGGATCGGGGGCAGCGGACCTGGGTGGTTCTGGCACAGGCTCTCCTATGAGGCTGCAGTCAATGTATCACGACCTCTTGCATCATCGAGGGCTTGACTGGGCTGGAGGCGCCACTTCCAAGATGGCTCACTGGATGTGGCAGAAGCAGGGACTCCTGCTGTGGGGCTGCTCACACCCTGGCCACCGCCTGCCCCAAGAGGGAGTGGACTGGGAGAGTGGTGAAGCCATGCTGTCTTTCCTAATCTAGTCCCAGAAGTGATGCTTCATCGTGACCACCAATTCTACTGGACACACAGACCAATCCTGGCGGAAGGGGGTTGGACCCACAAGGACATGAGTGACAGGACATGGGTGCATCAGGGCCATATTGGAAGCTGCCTACCACACCAGTGAGGAAGCAGGCCATGCATGTCCCTGAAGGAAGAGAATTCCAGACTGAGGGAAAAGAAGATAAAACATCTCAGAGGTAGGCATAGCTCTGTCCTCATCAAAGAGCAGCAAGCAGTATGGCGTGTCCGAAAAAGTAGAAAAAGAGGT